AATCTTCTTTTTGAGTTTAAAAACTGATAGAAAACTCAGCTGCAGCATCGCTCTGCCTTCAAATAAAGGATTTTGACCCATAAGAGAAACTTCTCCATCAGATAACTAATGATAAAAACTTGCCACAGATGCAAGAAAATTCCCATCCAACCACAGGTTCAGACTGAGTGATACTCATATCGACTAAAAGTTTTGCTGTTGGAAAAAAGGAGCTTTTAACGGAGCAGAAAGTGCTGCGCTGGAAGGAATGGAAGCTCTAAAAGGAGCAGGGAGTGCAGCATCACAATGCTCATGCAACATGCAGGATATGATGTCAAAGACGATGTAGATTATTGTTTTCCCTGGAAACTCAGGTGTCAGCGAGCGAAAACGTCTTCGCTGACTCAGCTCACCTTTAGCTCGTACTCCTCCCGTGTGTCGCTCTCGCTCCTGATCTCCTGCTTCAGGTCCATGTCGTCTTTGAACGGCTGGGTGGAGGGAGAGAGGGAAACAGAGGGCAAAAACTAAACCATCAAACAACGAAACACACACACGGAAAGAAGGGAGGGYGAAGAAAGGAGAGGAGGAGGAAGAGAGGGAAGGAAGAGGGAAAACAGAGTTTCAGCTTATTCGTCCCAAGAGAGTGGAAGAAGAGAAACGCTTCGTTGTCAGGAAGGAAAAGAAAAACGGTTCTGGGTTGAGCTTTATAAACCTTGTCAAAGGGACGCCCTCAATTAGACTCCAGGATTTCCAGGAATTTTCTAAAAAGAGTAAAACGTTTTTTTTAATCCTCGATGAAACCTGCAACAAAATGATAAGGTCAAAGCAATGATATAGGCCCCTGTATTTGTGTATAACGAGTGTTAAAGTGCCTGTGACATCAAATTTTATTCATAAATATAAATTCATTTTTGGAAAGATAATATTAATGACGCATTACAACAAAATTAAAGTTTGAATGCGCAGTAACAGGAAGTTATGACTAAGGGAAATGCCTGCATGCAAACAGAGCATCGCTACAAYGGCTAACATTAGCAAAGGATCTGATGTTTCTGGATTATTAAAGATAGTTTATAGAAACGAAGACCAGATAGTTCCCATTTTTTAATAGTTCCCTTTTGTTGTCACTTCTTGTTCCACTTAAACTGCTCCAAGTTAAAAAAGGCAGTTATGTGACAGAATAGGTAAAATTCTGTAAGTTACACCAAATAGCTTAAATATTAAAGGGGAAATATTATGTGTTTCTCAGGCATTTATTTAAATACTATACCATAAGAAAATATATGTCACCTTTAGCTGTTATAAAAAAGCTGTTTTTATGTTTAAATAGAAAATAAACTTATTTTCTCATCACTTCCTCTTCTAAACGCCTAGAAATTGGCCTCTTTCTCGTTAAGAACCACCTTCCGCTTCTGTCTCCCCCCATTTCGGTGGGGGGGGGG